TCCTCTTTCTCACTTTTTCTGTAAATCTATATATATATTTTCTTTCTTGTACAAAAAGCATTTTTGTCTTATGCGAACAAAGGACCATGTAAACAACATACAATATCTTCCAAATCTCCTAAATACCACCACCGAACTCAGGATTGAACAAATTTCCAGAATTTTTGCGCACATTTTGTCATCATGTTGNGTCCTTTTACACCTCCTCTTTCTCACTTTTTCTGTAAATCTATATATATATTTTCTTTCTTGTACAAAAAGCATTTTTGTCTTATGCGAACAAAGGACCATGTAAACAACATACAATATCTTCCAAATCTCCTAAATACCACCACCGAACTCAGGATTGAACAAATTTCCAGAATTTTTGCGCACATTTTGTCATCATGTTGTCTATTTCTAGATTTTCGTTTCTCTTAATCCGTCAAAAATCTAGTTCTACTCCTATTGATCAAAAACTAACTTCAGAAAAACCTATCATACATAGCCAAGGAAAAAGAGTATAAGATTACCCTAAACCCTCTATCGGACAGGATTTACTTCATAGAGAGAGAGAGAGAGAGAGAGGGAAATAAAAAATAAAAACTTTATGAAAAGTTGCGTTGATGTTGCCTATTCATCAGTTTGGTATATTTAACTCATAACACAAAAAGTTGCATATTACATTTACATATAGAAGTTGAGGTAGAATGGGACGCACTTAACACTGGATACGCCTACAGAAACATCTGAGTATAAGAATGCTGTATAATAATATTCTTCCACTTAGTTTGTGGAAATGGATGCATGTTAATAGTTTATGTAATGCGCATTTAGATGATCGTGAGGAGGAGGAGGAGGGACCACAGCTTGAATATTGGACACTGTCTCTTCATGACAGAAGGCTCAATGTGGTCCCTTCACGTTCATCAACTTCAACCTTCAAATAAATATTAACTCCATAACAGGGCAAGCTCAGGATTTAAGTTAGAAATAGATTAAAAACATTGAATTAGTACATATGTTGAAGGTCTCAAGAATATGCGGCTACTATATAAGCATACTATATATGGTTGGAAAGCATTAAAAGCAGGTTTAAAGGTTTTAATCTGCCTCTAGTAATATAGATATTTCTTTTATCATCATCATTTTAAGTGGTGTAGTTTTCTATTGGCATCTAGTTGTGTTGTGATGCATATACAGTATTATGTTCCCTGGCTCGTACGTACAATCGGCGTGGAAATTAAACTACATTGATTTCTAAGCTCGTGATGATGAAGACTAGATACGCAATCCAATCACACTGAACTATGTGATCCAAACAAGAAATTTAAATTAACATATATTCTGAAGATTTGCTTCTTCTTTCTTCATCGTTCCTCGCCAAGCGGCCCTTCATAAATTAAATTCATCAAATCCTTGACCTTATGTTTGATAATAGAACCAGTAGTACTTAATTGTCGCCTGCATTAATTGCACAGCACAGCCACTGCAAGCTTGGAAAGAAAGAAGTGATATTGTTGATTTATTTGTAATTTGTTCATTTGTTGATTCATTAATCAAATCTTTGAACCAATATGGTAATTGTATTTAGCTTAGTATATACTTAATTCATTGTTGAAAATCCTAAATGTAGGTTGCATTACACATTTTAATAGTAAAACTATGTCAACATGATATGGTTCGAGCTCAGATGTTTGGGTAGTAATCTGAGTGATCTGAACATTCCAATAAAGAAAGTACTAATGCCATAGGGTTGGAAACTTAGAATGACATTTGAGTGTCTAAAATGTACTAAAATTATTAGAGCTGTATTCGAGAGTTCTAGTAGTGCAAGAATGAACCAGTTACACTCCAATCGTGCTCAAATATATTGAACATCCCATCCCAAACATGGGAAATCACATTTGAAAATAAATCAAGTCTCTATTACATATCAAACATTAGAAATTACAGAAAATGCACATTAAACCATTAAAAATATTCCTCAATTTGCTGGATCAAACGAGATCAGCGCAGTGTTTATTGTCAAATTGAGAGTGTTTATTATTCAAACAAGATGAAGATAGGCTATGAAAGAAAATATGAGTTGGATTGTATTTATATAATGACCTAAAAATGAGACCATTTAGACAAATTTCCCATTTTTAATCTCTTTAAATAGTTCGGTCATGAAGGTTATGACTTGTGTGAAGCCTTGCTAGCCAGCTAATTCCAATTTTCTCTAGTACTTAATTAACAGTTCTAACTTAACTCTTTGTCACCTTTGTATTGTACAAAACGCGATAGTATGCCGAGTACATGTACAAACAAAATAAGATATTACAAATTGATTTTCGGATGGATGAATTAATCACGTAATTATTTTTGACTTTTGTGACCACAGCCCACAGTTCAGAAAATGCATTACGAGTTGCTCGAGAACAATTATGTCAGGCGCTAAATATCTTCAGTCCTATTAATACTTTATTCAATGGGATCATAATTCTGCCACCCACTGAACAGCCAAAATTCTGGACGTGCATAGGTTGAATTGTAAGCACTTTGTCCAAATTAACGGCGGTCTTTTGAAGCCATTCACCTAAAGGCCTCCTTTAGTTAGAGTTTGATCTCATGGCTATTTGTTATGAAACGGTGGTAATTAGATTGGGGCTGTCTCTCTGTTTCAATTACTTGGACCAAGTCATACAGCCTTAGAAAAACCAAGCATGGGCAACTTGAAGCTTCTGACGTGCTCGATCCTGTCCTGTTTCTCCACATTTTCCTCATGTATTCGTTGTTTCGCTTTCTCATCAGGTAATACTGACTACTTAATAGCTTCTCATCTCCTGTTCAAGGCAGATTGTGAGCGGACCCGTGAGATCTCGTGGTCAACTGCTAACAATTATGCTGAGAATATTCGTTTAACTTATGGCATTACATTTAAAGTTGCATGAAAATGAAGAGGTCATTTATCCAGTGAATAGAAAGAAAAAAACAGCTATTCAACTATAGCTAACTCGTCTTTTAGTTTCATATCATAGCCCGCTCACATCCGAGTTCAAATGTATGGAAGTTTTGCCCTCCCCAAATCATTAGAACTCCATAATTTATATATGGAGCAAATGCAACAAGCAAGATCAGAAGGAAGTTCTTTCGCTCGGAAGGATTTTAAACCCATTTTCAGGAGACAGAACAAAAAAAATTAAAATGGCATAATTTACTCAAGGCACCTTTTTTTCCCCAAAAGTTCTTTCCCTTAGAGCGAGCAATTTTAACCCACAAATGTCTTTCTAAACCCTTTTTTTAATAAAAATTAACAATTCCTTTTTCCGTTTTCGATTATGCAAAATTTGTCTCTTTTATTAAAAAACAATTTTTAGGCAATCATAAATGTTGAGCCTTCTCAAGAGTATTTTTACTAGCCTATTCTCTGCCTCTCCCGTTTAGTTATCTCTTAGAAAACTGAAATTAGTTGTTTCTTTGTCGTTTTATGCCGGCTAGCTTCCATGCCGTAGCAGTCATTAAGCATTACCGTATGATCCCGTTGCAGAGTCAAAAAGACATGAATTGAATGAGGGAAGAACGAGTTAAAACTTGAGACCAAAATCCAGACTCTACGGGGTTCCAAAAATAGTGGCAAGATTAACGGGTCTAGACTCCCGGACAGAAGCCAAGGTTCTGAAAGGAAAAGCCCCTTAGCAAGTACGCAAAGCTTGTAGCATTTCTCAGATACAGTTTCTGATTCTTAGATTCTATTTTGGATTATTTGATCGAGTTTGATTTAGCACAACCTCATTGTGACATCGTTTTGTCAGCTTGTATCAAAATTACTTGATGGGTACTTTCTTATAGAACGAGAATGATTTAAATAATTTTAATTTATTTTTTTATTTGATAAGTTCTGTACTTTCTTACGAAGTGAGAGTGATTGGACGACATTCAATTTTCTTTTTATAAATAGAAACCAGAAGGGTGAGGTTCAGTTAAAAAGGTGTAGAAAATTAGGTTAATAATTATTTTGAAAATAATTATGACATATTAAAAAAATAAATTTATTTGATTAATTATTGTTTAAAATAGACTTAGAGAGGAATTTGATGGAATTAAAATAGTTTTTTTTTTTTTTTTTTCACCTCTTTCAATTTTCTTTTGGGGGCATTTACACTTGTTCGAAGCAAAAATCCATGATAAGAGCCCACAACTCAGATTATTACTGTGCAATGTTTTGACACCCAGCCCGGCCCAGCAGGTTGAACCGGGACCCAGGGCCTTTGTCGGACAGGTTATCACTTTTAACTATTCACCCTGAACCCTAAAATTATAGACAGCAATCAATGAGTATACGACGACAATTATGTTGGAGCTTTTGAAAAGGGAGTGCCAGTAAGTCCAAAGGTGGTGAAGGGAGTGATTTCTGATGAGTAAATCAATAAAAAAAAGGCAAAAAACAATCGACCAAAACAACGGCCTGTTGTCAATGAGTGGCGGAGTGAACGAGAGAATGGTGAGATGGATTTTGGTTAGGAGGTTAGGGGGATTGTTTCCATGGTGATGGGAAATGTTGTCGTCGCCGAAAATAGACCCTGTTTGGCCTGGGTTGTCGACGCCAACAATGGTATTTGGGGGGCTTTTTTACAAGTTTTCAAACCTATCAAGACTTATAATAATTTGTAGGGGTATTTTTGTTGAATTTCAAACCTTCGAACACTGGTCCAATCAAACCGGTTTAACCGGTCAAATCGAGAACCGGCCACTTTGTCAGGTTTCACCCCAAGTTAGTTATTAAAACATTGCTACTGCAGCCTGAAGCCGAAATTTATGTAGACTTCCCCTGGTTCATACTTCATACTTAATCAAATTCCAATAGGAATAGAAGCATAGCTTTTCTTCGCTATGTTTCTGCATACAAAAATACCAACCTACCTAGCACCGTTTCTCCTAACCTCACAGTTTTGAACTCTCCAATGGCACATTCAGAGTTTGTCTTTGACATCTGGCTTTCAGTAATTAATGAAAGAAAATTACACGACAAACAAACGTCCCAAAAGAAAGAACTAGATGGCATTACCTATAAGCGAAGGACTGTTAACATATTTTAAAATCTTTGTTGAAAAGATTTTACAGAGACCACATATATTATACTAGGTTAATCCAACTGAGAAATTAATCACGTGTTACCATTACAAGACTCCTAGGCAAGGAAACTAAACCTTAAAAACATACTTCCTTCAGCTAGACGCTAGCCGGGTCTGTCTTTTCTTGATCTATTATATCATATATAAAACCCAAGCACTGGTTTCCATTAGGAGAATCACCATAATTAAATTTGATCTATTTACAAATTCAGAGAGACATTGATCCAGTGCCAAAACTTGCAAACAACTAAGCACCTACCTTACAGTTGACCTTCTACATACGTCAGTACAGTAAGACTAGAAATCTAAGCCTATTTGTACCATAGTTTGCCACAAACACTTATTCACTTACATTTGCCCTCCATGCGATGTTGTTCAAGCTGCCGTCACGAGACTTCTCTAATGCAGCAACTTTAACTCTATATGCTGCTGCCGCCACCGCATTTTTAACCCTCTGACCTTGAGTGAGCTCGCAAGTTTCACTGACAGAACTGAATCTTAATTCAGCAGGGGGAATGAAACAGTCCATTGATAGGCCTGGAACATTGAAAGCCACTTCTTCAATTGCCCATGCTTCTTCCATCCTAGTCCTCGTATGGCTCATTGCCGTATCCCCGAACCTAAAAAGGGTCACTATAGAACGACCAGAGTGAGCAATCATAATTCCCTCAACAGGCCTATAATCATCCAGGTACGAGTTGATAGTGGTCTCCCAGTAGACGGCATCACCTCCATTGTTCTGGATGCGGGTCAAATGGGAATCTTCCAAGTGGATAAGCAGCCCGGTTTTCTGGCTGAAGTAACCAAACAAAACATGCCTTATGATCTCAGCCGGTCCTTCACTCCTGGCTTTCAGTGTTACAGGATCTGCACATAACTTTAGAATGAAGCAATCCTCTCCATTGATCTTCTTCTCCCCAATGCATCTTGCATCAATAAACATACTTGCTGTCGTTCTTGGGTCAAGACCCTATCAAAAGAATCAAAAAGTTCAGAACATTTGGTAAACAATTACCAAGAGGAGCAATCAGTTAATCTGTGACAAAAAAACAGAAAATGAAAAGTTTAAAATCAGCTCAACCTGAAGAGCACGACGCAAAGGTCTCACAGGCCCTTTGGCAGCATGTGCTCCAAGCCAAGGTGTATGCCTCCACACAAGCTTCCCATTGCAACCGGCGTGAACCTTGCTGCCACCAAGCGCTAGCTCCACATACCACATATCTGGATTCATCTGCCACAGCACAAACCCACCCGACTCTGCACCTTTAGAGGAATTCCGATTCTTCGTAACCTTGTTACCCTTCTCAAACTCGGAAGCTATCATTGTTACCCTTCCCATAGCATAAGCATTGTGGATAGATTGAAGCTTCTGCCCACCTGATGCTGCTGTGTACTGCTGCAATATGTACTGAGCAGATGATGTTTCCTGCAACCATAACCCACAAAATCACATTTACATTTAGCGATTTTGTTCAGTTGAAATGAAAAGTAAGTTTAACCGCTATTTACAGATCACTCTAATTAATTTTTCTCTATTTCTCTTGAGGAAGAAAAAGTTTAACTGATTAAAACGAAAAAGACACAGATTTCAGCAAAAGCCATCTTGAAGTAGAGCCATTAATTTCAGGGCACAGAGATGATACAAATGAAATGTTTAGTTTCAATGGTATAACCTGTTTTCCTTCTTTTTCTTTTTCCCTAAACCAGAAAACTTTATCAAACATATACTAATACAAGTAAAACAGAGAAGCTATGAAAGCAAGCAGATTTGTGATGCCACTCTCAAACATGAAATACGCTATAAAACAGGTTCCTCCCACAAACGTGCATTTTCTGACCTTGGCATAAATTACCATAAGCACAAAGCCGATAAAACAGGATTAAAAAAAAAAGAAGAAAAAAAGAGTATATGGGAGCTCAATTTCATCAAATTTACTGCATCTATTTTCCCTTTTTCCTTTTTAGTAAATGAATATGAGCTAAAAAAAAAGACAAAAATACAATTATTTTTATGAAAAGATTTGTATGATGATGTAAGCATCTACATGCATAAGAACAAAATCACTTCTGATTTCACAAACTTAAAACTTCGCAGAAAAACAGCTAATTGAGGTACATACAATTGGAGTGTCTTTGATGCTAAGATGAGGCAATGGCTCAGCAGTGCTAACGTGCACAGGTGCAAGCGGCGCACCCAAGACTCCGAGCAGCAACCTTAGATCCGACCGTTTACACGCAGAACCCGAGACTGACGGAGCTCTAACCAGCTGTCCCTTCATCCAGTGGGCCCACCTCCCTTCCATCCTCGAATCTCCACCTTCCGTTCCGTCCGGATCAGGCCCTTCCTTCAACGGCGATAAGGCCTCCACCGGTCTCAGACTTCCCGATCTCACAATCACCGAATCTGGTTGCGCCACGTGGTGGTGATTGCTCCTACCTCTTCTTCGCCTGAGTAAACTCGACATAGGAGACGCACTTCTCGCCGGACTTTTCGCTCTTGTCCTCGCCGGTGACAACCCTCTAACCACCTCCTCTTTTAACGCTGAAAAGAATCCTTGTTTTCTCTCCATTTTACAAGTCCAGCCCTCACTCGAAAAAGCAAGCAAAGCAACCGAAAGAAGCAGAGAGTAGACACTAAGGGCAACAAAAGTAGTGATGAATCAAGAATGGCGTTTAGGAAAATGAAAATGGGTTTCTCATAAATGGTAATAATGATAAATAATTAAAACAAACAAAGAGATAACTACAGAGAAGGAGTGGATTATTGCGTTCTCTGTGCTTTATTGGTTTTTTATTTCATTTTTGTGACTGCCACCAGTGGTGAGAGTTGAGAGTTGAGAGTAAGAGACTAAGACTGAGAGGCGAGCTAGTTCCAACAACCTTTTTTCTCCTTACGGAAAAGGAAACGCCGTATGTCATATATGAAACGTTGGAGCCAATAAGTTATAGGGTTAGCGCCGTTACCAACGGTCAACTGTTTGGTGGAACAGTCAAAGATCGATAAATAATTAAGTGATTTATTATTAACTTTATTATTTTCAATAATAATCAGCATGCTGAGCATGCAGGAAAGAGGGTGATAATGGTAGGAGGCAGGTCACGATTCATTCATAAATCATAAATCACAAATCTTTTTTTTTTTTCTTTTCAAATTCTGATATTTTGATGAATATTAGTGATTATTTCTTCAGTTAATATACATATTAGGTATCTTATGCTTAAAAATGTATACAACATTCCCTGTGTCTTCATCCAGGCAGGGTCCAAGGTTGTAAATTAACTAGTTGAAGCAAACATGTCTTTAAAAAATGGAGACAGTATTGAACCCGTGAAACTATTTAAGATAAGCTTATTTTAATAGGAAAAGCAATTGGGTCTCCTTTAGTAGCACAGATTTGACTAAGCATACAGTGAGCAACTTTTGTCTCCAAAAATATTTGTTGAAACAGACAATTCAACAAATGAGTAGCCTAACTTTCCTTTTCTAATTCTATGCTTCAACAATACTTCTTCTCAAATCTCATCGCCAATCACGGCAACCATTTTTCTTTAATTTATCTCTTTTTACTTGCTCTTCCACCTCATGTCCCATGTTACCTGCAAACACATAAACCTCTAATTTAACATCATTCACTGTTTTACTAAAGCATACTTGATCATTAAGTAAAAATTGAGGTAATTAACTATCTTTGGATGATTGAGTGTTTGGATAGAGACTCTTTGATGTATTACTTTAGAGGTCCTGAGTTCAAATCCTCATTCAATCGCTAATAGGATACTCATTGAAACTCTTATCTAGTTAATAGTTTTAAGGTCCTGAGAGATTAATTGAGGTACGTGTAAACTGACTCAAACACTTTTGATCATCAAAATAAGAAAATTAGGTTAATAAAACTGAACTAAATTGAAATTTAATTTGTAGCAAGCCCGCCTTTATTCACAAGACCTTGGATGATTTGATTATTGGCTACTTTGTTGCAAGTAGCGTAAGTCTCGGTATATTAGTTGGAAGCTAAACCCAACTAAACAAAGACCTAGATAGGGCATCAATCCAACAACCAAAGTCAAGTCAAAGAAAAAATCTATATACCTTCAACTGATACCTGCCAACATATAAGTTCCAAATTCGAATTCATTAAAAAACATTTCCACGCCTCAATGCCTCTCATCACTCATCCAACGCTTCCCAAATCTTCCACCGTGAAATCACATGTGCTCCTCCATATATATCAGTGTTAAATCCTTTTCTAGCATGATCATCAAATGCGTAAGAAGACAAACATTGTTTTGAGCTGTGGTCCTTTCCTTCTTTACATTAATACTTTGGTCTGCGGGCCCTTTGCAGAGACACCCTGTAGTAAGAAACCATTTCGTCCTTGTAATAATACATCAATTTATTGTTAATTTTTTGGTGTCCTAGATGAAGGCATTCCATAACATTTAAAACAAGTTTACATCTAATCAATAATATTTAACCTCATAATAAAATCCATCTTGGATAATAATACTATTATCAAGATTTTGCTAATTAACTTTTGCTCAAAATAAAAGCATAAAAAATTGGAGAGAAAGTCGGAAATGATAATTTTACGAGTGGGTTTAATAAGGTGGGGGTAGTGGCGTATGATATTGTTGGTGCCAACACTTGCTTTGTCGGTTGATTTTAGATTTATGAGCACAAAAACAGTGGATTTTTAGAATCTTGAGATTAATTTCAAGGTTTTTACGCAAGGTGTGTTTGAATTTTGACAGATCAAGTGTCTAATATTCGTAGATTTACTTAAATATGATAAAGAAAGGTATAATGTCTATATCCGTTATGATTATCTTGGAAATGTTCATTATTTCAAGCCCCACTTCTTGTAATCATTCAATACTCCACAATTTCACCTTCACGTCTTCCCGTTACATGTTCGCAATCCAACATTTTCTGTACAATTCTCTTCCAACTACATTCTTTAAATCACACGAGTCCATGACATGACAACTACAATTGCCCTTTCATTCTATCAAGATTTTAACAAATATCGTGCCACTAGACATATTCATTTTTTTTTTTTTTTGGGTAATTTTTAATAATAAATCCTCTTTTGTTTATTTTCAACGTTCTCTGGGCTTGCCTCATGATGGTTACAATTGTAGAGAGAACTGAACTGAGGCCCAATACATTTTTGTCATAAACATATGCTCACGCCCACATGCTGATCCATAATCTATGGCAGTTGAATTCAAAATCTCTTTGAGGTGTCTGTTTTATATTTTCATTTTAGTCATAAATTTGCGCTCATTTCAACTAGATATAGCGGCAGTTGAACAAAGAGACGGGGGCTTTTTTAGCTTTTAGCAAACTATAGCTTAGTATGTAGATAAATATACGAGAGGGTACCTCAGTTACTATATGCCTTAAGGCTAAAAAGTAGTGAAAATGCAATCGAGGTTTCTTTAAGGACCACAAAGATATGGACAACTGTACCATACTATTTCACACTTCAGTTATAACTCTTATATTGGTTGAATGATCTGACAATTCATGTAGATAAAGGACCACAAATGATTTGTTTTGATTGGGTGCAGGACATTCAACATTTAATATTTAATTTACAGCTAGCTTCCATTCTTTGTTAGGGGTGTGTGTGTTCATGTGGGGATTTCATTTCAATTTCTTATAACGTGCTATACTACCTGCCACCATCCAAAAGTTTCATTCAACTTCTTTACTCTTTTGGCAAACCCCATTAACATCAGTGAATGTATAATTACATCCCTATCCAAATACAATTAATCAACTAAATCCTCTGTTTTGCGGGATAATAAAATTTCACCCCTGAGTTTTGAATTAAGTAACTGTACTTCAGTAGAATATTTAGCAATGTTTTGGCCCTATCGGTAACATTTTAGACCTATGATTCGCAAATCTTAGGGACTAAACAATTAATGATAAAGACCAAAATGTTACTAAACTAGGGTTACTTAAGCCAAACTTAAGGATGAAATTTTATTTTCCTTTTGCTTGCTTGTAAGTNTTCAACTTCTTTACTCTTTTGGCAAACCCCATTAACATCAGTGAATGTATAATTACATCCCTATCCAAATACAATTAATCAACTAAATCCTCTGTTTTGCGGGATAATAAAATTTCACCCCTGAGTTTTGAATTAAGTAACTGTAATTCAGTAGAATATTTAGCAATGTTTTGGTCCTATCGGTAACATTTTAGTCCTATGATTCGCAAATCTTAGGGACAAAAAAATTAATGATAAAGACCAAAACGTTACTAAACTAGGGTTACTTAAGCCAAACTTAAGGATGAAATTTTATTTTCCTTTTGCTTGCTTGTACGTCCTTTTAAGTCTGATCATAATCAAAGTTGTCATTAATTATCTTTGGATGATCGAGTGGTTTGATATAGACTATTAGGTATAATACTTAAGAGATCTTGAGTTCGAATTCCTCTTCGATTACTAATAGGGGTAGCCACTAAGTTTCAGAGTCCTAAAAAATTAGTTGAAGTGTGTATAAACTGATCAAAATACCCTGATCATTAAAAAAAAAGAAAAAAAAAAAAGGGTCCATCATACAGGAGTGCAAACGGTTTGTAAAAGATAACACAGTTTGAATTTGCCACCTTACATTCCACTGGATTTCAATACCGTAACTACTTAACTAGGAAAACCATTTTTCACCATTTAACCCACACGCTAATCAGTAAGTGTGAACACCTTTTTTTTGGACGCGTATTAGGTGGGGGACACCCTTTTTAAGATTTGATTCATGCAAAAATCAAATTCCATTAACGGAATCTGTAATTTATTGACGCTTCATTGGTAGCTACTGAAAGACAGGCTGTTTACATTTATCAAAGCGAAAGAAATATATCAAGTAAGACTTAATAATTCGTTTATATCTAAGATTAGAATAACGATAACGATAATTAGTTATGTAACAGGTCATTGATTATCATAATTCTACAAGCAAAGCTAACTCTTTGTGAATTCACATTATTTTCGTTTATTCTTTCGTGGAAGTTACAGAAATATGAGACTTGACAGATCAGCTGACATGTCACGCTTTGGGTACCGAAAGACAACACCGACCTGCACCTTTGGTCGCACCACTTTCATGCAGTATATCATCCGTTTCTGCATTCTAGAGACTTCTTTTCAATTGATACATAAAGGAACCCAATCCAAAATTTCTAGAGGATTTTATGTAATATTTAGTAATTAAATTGATTGTCAACTACGTTTCAAAGAAGAAAATCTTTCACAGTTGGGGTGGAACCCACTGAGTTTGTGCTTTTATCAAAGTAAAGTGGAGGTGGAGCAAAGGAAAGGAGCGTCGGTAGCCAAGCCTAAAATGGCTAAATCATACCACTACTTTCATTAATTTCACATTATACACATCTGCTCTTTTAACTTACAATTCTCATTAATTTTTAGTTGAATAATTTGATTTAGATTTTCTATAAAATTTGTACATTTACAAAAGAATATATATGGTTAATAATATATAGTAAAGACAACTCCTTGCTTAGAAGGTAAAATGCTGGCTCTAAAACTTTCTTATACTCCTTACTAAGAGGAATATGAAACAAAGTAAAAAAGAAAGCTTCAAGTGACCTTCACTAAGGTTTGATGTTGGTAAGCTTCATTTTAGAGCCTGGTAATAAAATAAACTGATCACATTATTATATTATATTATATATCAATCATAATCGAGCAATAAACAAGTGTAGGTAGCCAGATATATATGATATACGCGGAGCCATAAATACTAGTAATTATGGCTTACTACTTGATGGTGTTGACGTAATTTTAGCGTGTCTGGGGTTTGAGTTACTTCAAAGCCTGAGCCATCCAGATTATTCTTCTCCCAATACATGATGACAGTCTGTAATCTTTTTCTTGGGTATTTATTTAATTTCATTGCAAGCACTTTCCTAACATTTCACCTACTTGCTTCCCTTTTTCTCACTATAAATAACCCCCCTACGACCACCCACTTAATTTGCCAAAGTTCTGAATAACTCCATTACAAAACCATTGCTCTCTCTAAAGTTTTTATTTTTTTTTTCTGCTGAGAAAAATGAAGCCTGTGTTTGTTGCATTCCTTTTCGTTTCTCTTGTTCTTACTTCTTCTTTCTTTGAGGTCTCAATGGCTGGTTCAGGTGAGAAATTAGTAGCTATGCATTATTCTTTAAATCACTACTCATAATTACTATGAATATTTTGATTCAGTACGTCTTGTATTTCTTAATTATCTTTAAATGGTAATAATGAAATCTAGCTTATGATGTGGATGTTTTGGTTATTTTAACTTGTAATTCATGAACATGAACAGATTTCTGTGACTCAAAGTGCGCGGTGAGGTGCTCAAAAGCAGGAGTGAAGGATAGGTGCTTGAAATACTGTGGAATATGCTGTGAAAAATGCAATTGTGTTCCATCTGGGACTTATGGGAACAAGCACGAGTGCCCCTGCTACAGAGACATGAAGAACTCAAAGGGCAAACCAAAATGCCCTTAAACTCTTTCATTTAATAATAACTCTTTCATGGACCCATTAAAGATTATGATTTGTGTCACCTTATGATATATTAGTAATCTATAATATAGAGCTTAATATATAAAGGGTCCTAGCTGTAATACAAAAGAGAGTGTTAATATTGTTAATTGTTATGGTTATGCTTTATTATTATTGTATATTTCCTTGTATTATATATATGCGGTTTGGTTAATAATACTATCACAAAATTGAAGCTCTTGATTTGAGAATGCTTTTTCCAGTTTTCTGATCAGATAGTATAAGTGGCATAATAATTCTGATAGTGAAAAACTGTAACCTGGTCCCTGGGAGGAGAAAGAGAAGGTTGAACGCGTCGTTAAATAGTTATTAGATTAGATTTGACTGATTTTATGCGGCATATCACGTGGAATGTACGATGAAATAGACATTTTATTTGTGGCCTGACCCTTTTATTTATAAGAGTCCCCTGATGCTTTTCACGTGACACCTTATTATTTAGTTTATTAATTATGATGGAAAATGGCCCTCCCCTCACTTCGTCACCTTTCTAAAAGGAGACAGAATGTTGTGGACCATGTAGTTAGTTCCACTGGAGTTCCTTGATTAATTATTGAAACACGGGATTGGTTTAACACCCCTGTGAAAATGTGCGAAAGATTCTGGTACTATGTTTAATTGTTTTAATCTCAAATTACTAATTTCCCACAGAATTTATATGTTGGAGGTACATAATGGAAATTAATTAATAACAAAAGATGACAGTAAAAGTTTCATATGTTATCCCAAGATCGAAGTGGAAGATGAAGTGTAATCGTCGTGGACTCCAGACCCTGCCACTCGTTGCCTTGTATTGTACAAGGAGGACAATGGTCGACTTACAACAAATACATGAATCAAATAATAATAACCCACACACCGAATCCCTGGCCTTGCTTCTATCTATTATCAGTTCATTTGCCACCAATCATGTCATTAAATAATTATGCCTCTTTCAGTGACATTTGGAAGTTGGGACCCTTGGAAAAATCATTCATGAGGGATTCGTAAGTAAGAAAAAATTACTCTCTCTTAAAATCCATTTAAATAAATAAACAGAATTGAGATTTCATTTCAATGCAATAGAAGATTGGGTGTTTTCGAATTAGGCAAATATAGTATTAAGTCATATATTAAAACCCAGAATGAGGGGAAGGAGAGACCTGCATCTGTAATAATACAGTAATAGCCAGAGACCAACATACATGCCCAGGTAGGAGTGGGCCATTGTAACTATAAGGATCTGTTACCCTTTTCTCTATTTATCTTTTCTTTTCCGTTTAAATTGTACAACGGCACAGAGAGAGCAGATTTCATCCCTCTGAATTATCATCTTTGATATGACAAATAATCGAATATGGGAGCTCAGTACCATTACGGATTTACTCAATATATGAAAAATTATCAAAAACTATGAAACTCGTGAAATTTAAGATTCAAGTGGCTGAAGCTCTTGCTCCGGAACACTGACACCAACAGGCTGATACTTTTTAAAAGTTTGCCTTCGTCTCCAAACTGACCATAGCCCGATAACCGATAAACTAAGAACCAGGGTTATAATTGTTCCAATAACCACAGCCACAACGTGTTGCCGCCACCATGTCCTGAAATGGCTCCAGAGGAACCCAAATGTCAAAAAGAAATAAGACAACATCTTTCAGAAAATTAAACTGGTTTATGTGCTGCGAAGAAACCATACGAGTATTGCAGAAAGTATTCCAGAACAACATGCAAAAAAGATGGAAAAATAATCTGACAAATGTCACATGGTTGCCCATTTATCATCGTCCTCCAATGGACCAATAGACAATTCACCCTGAAGACACTTCTTTTATTTCTAAACTCCATATTTGTATTTCAATAATACTATTCTTCTAAAAACTATCACAAATTTAATATCCCCAATAAGGTGTCATCATACATGGCATTGACATGTAAATAAAATGATCATGTATTAAATGATATAACAATGCTCATATGATGACAACCTCATTTGGGATGTAAAATTTGGGATAACTCTTTTGGAATGAGTAGTATTTTACTCTTTACTATTAGCAGAAAATAGATAAAAAAACAGAATATAATCAAGCCTAACGTTACAAAGTATTATAACCGAAACCTCTGTGAGTGCATCAGGTTCTCCAAATTCAGCAGTGAACTTAGAATTATTACCATAAACCCATTTAGTAAAAAGATCACCCCTGTGGCGCCACTCCAATAGCACCAACACAATCACAAAAAAATTCTACTCAAGCTTCCATGACCCTCACATTACTTCCCCTCTTTGCTCAGGCTGGGAAACGATGCCACACCCTTGCCTGACCACCCCAGCACCACATTATCACTCCCAATCCACCAAAACACCTAATTGCCTACCATTTCTCTAACTCACTCCCACCCTTTCTAGCATGACCACTAGCATTGCAGTCATCCCATCAAACATGCAAATGAAGAAACAAGAAAACCACATATCTCTCCCAGCTAAAGGAAAGTGATCCATTGGCTGGAATAGGTCTGGATTTCATTCAGCCTACACATCAAAGCTATTATTTTGCAAGTTGCATTTTAAGTCAGCCTGAGACAAGTCCAGATATGTGAGGGCTTTGAGCAAAACTTCGGACACTACAGGTTATCCATCAATGGAAATATCATTGAAATTAGCAGGCAGATCAATTTATTTATTTATATTTTAACGGGCACAAGCACTTCATAAAAGACGGTAGATTCCATCAATAAGGATTTCCGCATACAAGATATAACCAGAAGAGTAAATGCTCTATCTCAAGGAGAAGAAAACATACGGCTTGACTTGAGGCTCAACGTTCCATTTTACTAGCTCATAACTTCCAAATCTCTCAGGAAACTGCATATGATGATGATCCTTTAAATGCAGAATTATGCTCTGCACACAATAAATAACATAGCATTCGGTCAATAGAAAATAGAACAGTCAAATTCAATAGATGAGAAAACTACCAAAGGATACATAGCATATACAAATACTTGCTGTCACAATTATAGTATTACCGATGCGGTGGTATTAGAAATGTAATCCGCAGATTCAGCTGGAAAGATGCCCCATCTAACAAGGTAACCATCTTCGCTTGAAGAGAAGTTCAGCAAATGAACCTAAAAACCAAACTTTACGATTTAGGAGCAAGTGTATAAAATTTTTTAATTGATTCAAGAGCTGCCAAAGCAAAATGATAATTGGAAATAACAATGTGTTAGGATCCCACATTGAAAGGGAAAAGGGTGGGCATGTGGGTTATAAAGGCTTGGACACCCTCCCTTGGCAAGCCGGTTTTCCAAGGAGAGTTCTACCCAAGCCTATGAAAGACCCATAGCCCAGCCCAAATTGTTGAGTTATTGGAGTGGGTTCCTATCAATTGGTATCAGAGCATGATCCTGCGCCTATGTGGTAGAGCACGCGTGGCAGGCTGACCTTGGGTCCGGGCTGCTACCCTGAGAAAGGGCATGGAGGCCCGAGGGAAAAGGGGATCCGCATAGTCACCCAAGGGGTAAAGAGGCCGACGGGGGTAAAGAGGCCGACGTGGACGTCGATTGCGGAAGCGTGGTGAAATGTTAGGATCCCACATTGAAAGGGAAAAAGGTGGGCATGTGGGTTATAAAGGCTTGGGCACCCTCCCTTGGCAAGCCGGTTTTCCAAGGAGAGTTATACCCAAGCCCATGAAAGACCCATAGCCCAGCCCAAATTGTTGAGTTATTGGAGTGGGTTCCTATCACAATGGCTGTGAGATTTATAATCAACAAGTGGTAGAAAATCCTTCCATACATACATTTGCAGTTAATCATTATTAACACATTTGCTGAGATGACATACACCAAGCTAAGAAGTGCATACCGAGTAGTTAGATTTGTGAGGGATATTATGAACAATAACCATTTATTGTTCATCTGCCAGGTAAAATAAAAACTGTTTCTTTACATATACAAACTAAGTTTCAAATCCAACATTAAATTAATACCCTCCAACTTTAGTGTTTCAAACTTTCAATACATCTTACCTAAACCATAGAAAAGTAATTAGTTACCTGTGAATCATCAACTTCCAACTCATGGGCAATGAACACTGCAAATTCTGTGAAGTTGGGCCTTGTGGATGAGTTGTTCATGCTGATTGATATTTCAAATGATATAAACCCAATTCGATATGCACCTACGTATCACAGCCAGGAAGCAATATTATAAGAAAGAATCTATGCACTAAGGATGTAATGTAAAAAATCAACATGATTACCACTGTGATGTTTTCCATAGTCATAATCTTTACCATAATTATAAAACCATGAAAAATGATACTAAGCAGCCAACGCATGCAAACAATATTAAGTCAGAGATCAAAACTACCCTGATGGACACAATGTGATAGTTAAACGGTCTAATTTTCATTAGTGTTACTTGCGGGGGTATTTCTTTAACATGTATACTTTGTTATGAATAATAACAATAAAACTCTCTAATGAAAGAGAATATTTATGTGTCAAATGCATACATACACAGAGCAAAGATCAACTTGACATTCCAGCCAGACAAGCAGATTGCAGATGACGATTCAAGGAAATGTGGAAATATACTAGAGGATTTATGCTTAGAGTAATTAGTTCATCTATCTTACTACAGTCTCCAGCAGGTCCAGAAAAGTGGTCAGGAAAATAAGTATAGTATTGTATTACATATAAAAATCTTTCACCAAAAGTCTTCTGAATCTATAGAAATCTTTTAATCTTATTCTAACAATTATATAGTAATCAGCATACTGTCACAAGTGCCAAAAGGTACATGAATTTGCAGGAATAATGATATTTTTCAGAAAAAAATCCAGGGTAACATCTTTATTTTATATGATAAAGATTAAAAAAATTGATTTATGATGTATATTTGGATTTGTACCTAAAGTGTAACTTAAAATGTCATGATTCATTGCATATTGTAAGAAAACAAGCCCAGAGAACACAAAGCAATCAATAACAAATAAGTAACATCCCCAACAATAAAGCCTAAAAATCAATATATGATACATATTAGATTTGAAGATCATATTAAAAAGCCTTCTATATGGTTCAAAGTTGTTCTACCCGGAAGAATATTGGGAGGCAATCCATCTGGGGCCAGGGAAGGAGGAATTTCTACACTTGTATTACTGCTACTAGAAACTAGAGGTGCTGGAGCAGGAGTAGGAGCAGAAGCAGAAGCAGGAGCAGAAGCATTAGAAAACTGCATTCTCCTCCATAGTTCTGAACAATTGGTTTTCCAAAACCCAATCTTATTATCCGCCCGATCATATGTAACTAGGGTATTACGGACAACAATTCCTGTCTCAAATAAACAAAAGTAAGAAGATATCTATGAAGCAGTAGAACAAAAATTTTGGGGGTGGGGAGGACAGAGCCATCATATATACCTCCTAAAAGAGTAGTTGCATCAGCATTTTGGAAAATTCCCAGGCAATAAGCACCACTAACCTTCGTATGCTGTAAAGCATGCCACAAAGAGAATTAGGGAGAGAATGAACCAGAGCGAAATACAGCTTAAATTGTAGTTTTAAAAAAATAACAAAATAAATAGATCATGAGAAAACATCCTCAAACCACTATAAATTAGATTTGCAGACAAGTGTAAGGTTGCTTTCATCCTCAAGAGAGCTAAGAATGATTTATTACCCGGAACAAGTAGTTCTCTGGGGACAAGGAAAACTTCTGTCCATTGCTAAATACCATATCCACCTCCGGAAAGGCTTTTGATAGTTGAGAGACATCCCTAAATCACATTATAGTAAACAAAGTTACAAATAATTATTAAACCATGATATGCAAAAACTCAACATCTATGCTTAAACAGACAACACCTTCCAGCACCAGAAAAACAAATATCATCATAATTTGGATCAGGACCATGGACTGGTTTCAGAGAATGAGTTTCCTTCGTGATCTGCATTTATACACACAGATAACCGTGAACTTGTATTAAAAACAGGGGTACACATGCATACAGATGGCATGGCTAGTTGAAAGAAAGTTTGAAACAAACATAGAGCACTAGAATAAATATACAAAAAAAAATAAAGAATTAGAAATGATTTTGTTTAAAAAAATTAAGATTGAGAAATCATACAGCTTTCGTAAATGCAGAAAAAGCTTGTCGTGGAAGGTAGGCATATGTAGTTCCGCTGTCCAAGACAGTTCCATGCCTTCCATCAAATATCTTTCGGCTTAATTTCAATGGCTTTCCAGCCACATGTATTTCCTCAAGCGCAATGTTGTAATACGGACTGTTGCCACCCAAAAACTACAGTGAATGTGTGAGATCCACTAGATGCATTTCCTATGAAAAATGCATCGCCAATTAATATGCTGTGAAAACATCTTACCTGCGGAAAGGGTCTGAATGAGCAAATACCATATCAGGTGGAGGAGAGATCCCACCAAGAATCATTGCACCCCCACCCACATCCATCCCACCATAACATAATGAAAATGAGTCACTAATAGCACCCTTGTCAACAAGTTGATCCACAACACTAAGCCGACCACGACCCAAACCCATTATGCCATCAGCACGTTGGGTATAAAGATCACCTGTTTCCACAGTTTCACAACCAAAAACAGCAGACTGAGGAACAAGTTCACTTTCATTGCCGAAAGAAATAATATCTTCTGCAAGCACACCACTGCTGGAGCTCATCTCAGCATAACGTCTTTCATAAGTGCAAAGCTTTCCATCGTCGTCACAATTACAATCAGGATTGCATTTTAATGACTGATAGGTGCTAGACAATTTGGGTTGAAACCTTGGGTCCTGGATTACACCAAATATTAGCAATCAATCAATATGAAAAGCCTCCATATGTAACCTCTTTGATTGAAAAAATCACAAATTCTGGCTATATACTACTTATTCCTTACAGGATTTCATAGGTAGATGAAAAAAGAGACAAAAAAATAAATAATATGGAGCTTATCAGTTTAGAAGAATGTAAATGTTCCAAGTGTATTACAAGGACAGTTGCTAGTTCCATGTGATGTCGAGAGCAATATTATAGATTCTGTTTCCAATAAAAGAAAATTATATTCATCAATTTTTTTTTTTTTTTAATTTCCTGCAGCCTGACATTCTCAGAAACAAAGTGAAGTTAATTCAAAATTTCACTCGACTTATCAGGCACCAATCCATTGTATATCAACAACATATTTATAATTACCCTATAGCTAGACGCAGTATTCAATATAGTATCTTATTGTAGGAGTAATTGCCAAAAACTAAGAAAAAAATGAAATACGACATTGATAAAGTAGAATCTGAATGGAAGAAATTTCATAGCACGGAACCTGATGCCTGCCACACCGTTGACAGTTGGAGCAAGGAACATAAGTCACAGTGCTCCCAGTATCCACAATCAGGGCGAACTGCTGAGGCGGTGTCCCAATATTTAGGTGCGTCGTATAATAACTGCAATGAATTTAAAAAAAAAAAAAATCTCAAATTTATTGATAATTACACAAGCATACATATTTATATACGAAAGTAAAAAGCAAATTGAAATTAAAACAAACCCGTTGGTTAAGAGATCATCATATAGTCGCATGCGAGCGTTTGGTCTATGAGGTAGGTGCGATTGCTGCAGGTGACGGCGACGATCATCTAGTTGCCGGTGCACGATAGAGTTATGTGATGAGAGATGGAGAGGAATAATCAATGGGCGTTGGTCAATGGTAGAATTGACAACGATGAGATTGATTCCGATAATAAATAAACATAAGAGGAGAGAAGCCATGGCGGTCAACGACTCAACAGGATCCTCCTCTGATTCTTTAAAAAAAGAAAGCCAATGCAAATTGCCGGGTCAACTTACTCTGCGATTAAATTCGAGAGATTTTAGAGGCTCGCTTGGTAGCCAATGAGAAAACGCCACATTACAGTTGAAATGCTTTGTTCCACCCTTAATGAAAGTAATTAGTTGTAACGACTAACCGACCGCTAAGTGACCCAATAAAGCACAAGAGAGAACAAACGTTTTACTTGTTTAAGTGTTGGAGTGGAATTGTGACGTAACTCTCACGCTGTGACGCTGGAATGGTGAGACTATCAGAATGTGGAGATCTTTCAACCTTAGACAATTATCCTTTTCTTTATATTTCTATGCCTATAGGCCACTCTTACTAATAACCAAAAATTACAAGGGAATGATCTATGTGATTAATAGGTTATTAGATGGCCGTGGCTTAATGACAAGCCAGCATCTGCTTATATTGAAAAGGTGCACACATCCCACAAAGGTGCCTGGTAAAATGTAAAGGAAAGTCTTCAAACAAATTTGTCAATTTGTACGCACCTCAGCTAATCTTCTATATGCACCTCAGTTAATTTTCTGGAATCTTAGAATTGTTGGCCGAGTACAAACCCTAATTATCACCATTATTAACGCCTATAGGGACTTAAACTTAGGAGATCATATTAGATCTTCTTTTTGCTCTCGTGGAGGTTCGAACTTAGAAGACCATATTAAATCTTCCTCTTGTTCTCGTGAAAACTCAAACTTAGGAGATCATATTAGATCTTACTATGCTTTCGTGGGAACTCAAATTTGAAAGATCACATTAGATCCTCCTCTTGCTCTTGTGAGGACTCGAATTTGGGGGACCATGTTAAATTCTTCTTTGCTCTTTTATCATCTGGCCACCCAATGGTGGTTAACGATGAAAGCTCTTCGATCACTATATTACCTTGTGTTATGTGAGGTGGAGGACATATCAAGCATGAAATGCAGAGTAAGCTAATTCTTCATTATACCCAACTCCTTATAAAGTTATAATGCCCTTTCCAGGAAAGAGCTCATGATTTCTTATTATGCAGAGGCCATGAAAAATCGAGAAAGTAAATTTCCAGGAATCAGTATAACAAACTACTTAAAAGAAGAGCAAATAAAAACCTCAAAGTAATCAACACCTTGTATTCTCAACTACACGATAAGTATAACCGGAAAGAAAAAAACAGTTGTAAAACCTCGATATGTAAACATTACTGTGACATTCCTTTCAAGTAGATTGTACAAAAATTACAGTTGGTTCCCGCATCCAATTGGCAGATTATTCCCCTGCTTTCCTAGTTTCCTTGTGCCAGAGCAACGTTCCTCTGAATATCAACTTACAACCAAAAGGACTACAACTACAAACACTGACAACAATTCTACACACTCACAAACAAAAGGGAGTTTGTAACAATAACAATCCTACACATAAAGACAGTTTTTACTCAAAAGACAGACACCTGATTCTTCAATATGATGGAGCTAAAAATTGGAAAGACAGTGCATGTGACCTAAAATTCATTTGTATGTCTAGACATTTGACTTCTTCCCGTCGAACCAAGCAAGTATCTTTTTGCCATACATATTGTTGCGCATCACTAGAAAATTTGACATAACCAGATTCCGCAAAGCATCATGGAGAAAACCCTGCCGTTGCCACAAAGGATAAACACAATAGAACCGAATATATCATAATTTTAATCAGAATAAAAAATATTATCTATATAAATTACGAAATGAAAAAAATTAAATAAGAAAAATGTGCAAGCAAGCAAAGCCATTAGTTTATATCTTGGGAGACTAGACAAAGGCATTTTACTTATTTAAACTTAGACGTGAGTAAGATTCAAGCAGTTTCAATATGCACAAGTCCAAATTGCATAGCCAAAAATTAACCATCTTAAGCTGAATTCAACAGATTTGTCAGGTCTCTGAGCCAAACCAAACCATTTATCCTGGATGGCATATTGAAGTAAGGCCACATTTATTAGCTAACACTAGTTTGCAGAATGAATACAACTTAATAAAGTGAATGATCTAACCTTAGACACCAACAAAGCTGATTGCATAACAAAGTTTCCAAAAGGATCAGTAAGCAGCATAGAAACATTTGGACTTTTAAGCAACTCCCTAACAATTCTCATGGACTGCTGTTCGGCTGATTCTATCAAGCACCTCTCTACAACATTACTGCCATACTTATTACAGGAGAGATCCATGTAATGCCCTTCAAATTGTCTCAGAAGATCTGCAGTTATTTGTGGTATCCTCAATCCCAGTAAATGTTGCACCACATAGTTACTAGAGAAAATAAAAATTGTAGAATCATGTTACTTTCTGATCACAGCCAAGCAAAAGTAAACCAAAAATAAGATTTAAAAAGCTATAAGAATATGAAATTAGAACATGATAAAGGTCTAGCAAACAAACCCAAAACGATCTTCTGCTAGGTGTTGTGCATTTGCAATGATCTCAGCAATTAGACGCTCTCTTTGCAGCCCCTTAGATTTTTCAACACATTGCTGCAGCACACAACAACCACTTTTGTCTGTTGCAATTCCCAAACAATTATCGACCACCTCATTCAGAAGATACTGCCAAAAATAATCTGTCAGAAATTTCAAAAGCCAGAACAATGCTTCCTGGTGGATCTTAGCATTGTTTTAGAAAAGCACATGCACAATAATTAATAAGCAGTAGGGAAGACCAAAGCTTAATGTCTACTACCTCCACCACTCAAAATACACTTCAATTCTTTCTGTCCAAATTTCTTGAAGACATTGTGATGACATAGAAAACACACTTTGATTTTTAAAATTTCAAACCATGATATATGTTCTATTAAATATGCTAAGTTACATATAAAAGCTTAGGAGCAAATAAGAGCAACTGCAAGAACTGTTAAGAACACACGCATAAATTATTGACATACTAGCAAAAAGAGTTTCTATCGTTCATACATGTTTGATTGTCAAGCATTTTCCAACACAAAAGTAATACCATGTATTGTTGTCCAAAATTCCATCAATAGGAAGAAAACCATATTTTATGACACGGGAAAATCAAACCACGGCAACTCTTAGATATATAATGCCACACTGTTTCCGAAGCCACCACAGTTAAAGCCCCAAATTAAAATCAACTCTGCAGAGATCAATAAGATCCAGTGTCTCTACCTCCATTACTAGAACTAATAATTTTAGTTTTGAGCTGTACATACAATCAAATGCTGAAACCTGCAAGATTCTAGTGCACTAATAAAGACAAATTTTAGTGTTTTTGTTGGAATAAATTCTCTAGCATAGATTCGATTAACAAATTAGTAACCATAAGAAATTATTGTTTCAACAACCAAACCCACATCATTTAACTTTCAATGGGGAACCATTCCTGGAAATGTATAATCAAAGAGAAAAATGAAAACTTCCATGATGAATGCTGGTCATCCACCAATACTAATTGAACATTACCTTGTTGTATCGATCAGGGAAGTATTTCAAGCAATGCTGGATTACATGATGACCATTCGTGTCCTTAATTAATGTGACACTACCAGGCATCAGAGCAGCTGTGATCAAAGAGACTTGCTGTGGGGTGGTAAGATGTTCCAATAATTTCTGTACAGCACGAGTCCTGAAAAACAAAGATAACCACTTCACATAAATCTTTTTCATTGAACCGTTCAAATGAAATAAAAATAAATAAATAAATAACCCAAACGAAAGAAAAACATACCCATGCATGCTTAGACATATCCTAACAAGTTGAAAATCAATCTTGGTCAGCATTTGAAGGATCTGAGTCCTCTGTTCGTCACTACATGTCTCCACAAGCTTTTGCACAACATAATTACCAAAAGGGTCAATAATCAAGTCACACACATGGTCTATCATCTCCGAGAAAATCATATCAATTCCTTCTTTTGACATATGAAGAATAGTGTTTTGCAAGAGACGACATCCGTATTGATCCTTGGCCAAAGCCACGATATTACCCTTCAAATCTCCCAAAGATAGGCAATGAAATGGTTTCTGCAACCATTGACCCCTCTTAAAATTCAAATTAAAACTCGAAACATTCCGGTTTCTCGGCACCATGCCATTCAACAAGAAGTTTCGCTTTGAAGATGATATGGCAGATAAATCATTGTGAAATGCTCCATTTCCAAAATCATGCAAAAACCCATTTTGGTTTGTACTTTGCGGGCTAAAATTATTGGATGTTGAATGAAAACCAGACATAGAACCATCCCAGTTATAACCTTGCAAACCCATAATCCCAGAAGAACTTATACACCCAACAAGTTTACCGAGTTCCATATCTTGGCGAACAAGTGATGGAAAGCCATCCCTATTTAACACAGAACTATTTGTGACGTTATCAAAGGCAGAGGACCTATAAAAAAACTCATCATTAGAGCCTGGATTTACAGTGAGATTAGAGAAGGAAGATTCAAGGGTTTCCTGTGAAGGGTTTAGTAGGTAAGTTAGAGGGTTTTGTTGATGGTGATTTTGGCGACGGAGATGGGAATCCGGTGAACCGTAAACCGGAGCGTGAGAAGGCGTTGCCGTGGCCATAAAATAACGGTTACTGCGGGTGTTAGCCATCAATGAATGAGAGAGAGTTGAAGTGGCGAAAGGTTTTTGGTCTTAGAAAAGGGTTTATATGGTATTTGGATGTGTGGAGTGGAGATATAATTTTGATTTTAAATGAGAAAGAGGATATTAATGAAAAGATTTGGTTAACATAGTATTTGGGAAGATTTTTGAATAAAAATGGAAAAGCCTTAACTGAGAGTTATAGGCGGAGAGTCTGGACAGTGAGAGTAGTCTGTAGAGAGATATGCTATGTAGTATGTAATATGTATGACTAGTTGAAGTTTTGCATGCAGTTTGTGGAAACTATTGACATGGAATGGAATAGAGAGAACAAGTGAGAAAAGACTTTATGTGTTTACGTGGCGTACGTCTGTCACCTAGAATCCTGTTTCTTCTGAACAACCAATAGTTTTTTAGATGGAATGTGTTTTAGTTTTACCTTATTTTGTCTAATATTTTATCATCTCTTTCTCTCAACTCTTTAATATTTTTATATTTCATCCTACATCTCATTAGATTTAAG